ACAAAAAACCATGATGGATATGAATGTTGCTTAAACACAGGAAAAAAGTAATATTTGTAATTTTGCTATTTCAGGTATATCCTATATATTTCCTCCAAAGAGTTCAAGGCATTCTCCTCCCCCACTTTTATTCTAACAACCCTTTGAGGTAGACGAGTCTGAGGGAAAAGGGAATGTGAGCTAGTGAGCCTAGGTGACGCTAGACTCGTTCTTGTAACACTAAACTATGGTTTCACATTACTTCCAAACCAGGCAAGTGAATTTAATAAGTAAATAAATAAATGATAACTGAACTTAAGGTCACCCAGTGAGCTTTATGGTTGAGTATGGGATTTGAACACACATATATGGATTCGGGCATATTGGATGATATAGCACTGTCTTTCCTGTATATGAGAGATTAACATTTCCAGACAAGAATTTAGCAGAATGTTTTATTAAACATTCATGGATTTTTCAATTATCTGTGGATGCCCAAGCACAACCACAGTAATGGAATCAATCCAAATTCTTTCCTCTTCTGTAATGCAGAATCACTATATGGATCTTCCAAGAATAAGGATGTCCTGGTCTTTACCAGGTTTCATGAATTTGTTTAGTGTTACCTCTGAGGATTAAAAAAAAAATGTAACCATGCAGTTGGGCCCCCTTCCAATTAACAACTTTGAATAGACTCCTAATTTATTCTGTCTGAAGTCAGGTGAATGCCAACTTAAGTCATAATGATGAATCCAAAATACTTCTTACTCCACTTTTCTCTTAATTTTCCCAGTATTAAGTGAGCAATGTTATAGCTCTAAACCATGAAACTACATATAAATATGACACTTGCCATTTCTGTATTTTTATCTAGCAGCATAAAGAATGGAATTTGAAGGCCATTCTGAACAGAAACAATAGTAAAATGTATATGTTCTAGAGGGCTGGAGTCTGGATGACAAAAAAAAAATTCCCAATAGACAGTGTGTATCTGTATCAATTGTGCTCCCTGGCTGGGACTGCCCCTAGCTCCATCTGCTGTTAGTTGCCCTCTGCCCTGTTCCCATCAGCTTCAGTGGGTATCAACTGACGACCGATGGCCAAGCATATACAGTGCAACATGCACAGATCAAATAAACAATTATCTTTATTCTCACCACCAACTACAGATAGAAGGAGGAAGGAATCCTGCTGCCACCACACCAAAGACAACTACAGAGGCCTTTGCCACTTAGGAAAGGGAAGCCTGACATCTGGCTTCATGTGTACGTATGCATGCTGTGCTGGCATCACGGGATACAGGGTTTGATGTTGGACTATTTAAGCCTGAACCATGTTATGTGTTCATTGTGGCATCCATCCTCTCACCCTTTATTCTGTACAGGCATTGGTTAGTCACCTTTAAGGGGCCAAGTAGGGTTTTTTCCCCCTCATGCCAGTTGACAAGCCTGGCTGGATAGTGTTGGTGAGCACCCTTAGGGACTTTTAAGGGTGAAGGATACAGTTCTGAGAACTGCCTTCAGGAACCCGCTAGCAGAGCAAGGAGCATCTCTGAGGCCAACCCATAACATCTGCACCGAGTTGTGGAACGCCAGGAGGGAATGGAACAGCAAGGCCTTCCTACTCCCTTGAAATGGTGGGACTTCAGGAAAAGAGTATATGAAAAGCTACTTACTCTTGGAAGCACTGGCTCATCCAGTTTGCTATGCATAATTAGCATCCTGAATCTTGGTTCCCTTCTACAGATCTGGTGTGCTAAAGAAATAAAATGTGACCCAGTTCCACCCAATCTTTGTGCCTTGCTCCCTGGTTTCCCTATGCGGTCACAATCATGTCCCAATGTCTTGGAACTTTTTTAGCACCTAGGCAGAATGACAACTCTACACCGCAGAGGTTGTACTAACTAAATGCATTCCCTTTCAATAGCCTCAGCAAAAAGCCCCTCCAATTTTTAAGGAATTCTAAAAATATACCACGCATGCATCATATGAAAGCAACAAATGAACAGAATGAAATGATCAATTTCATGGATTCATTTTAGCTACAGCACACACTGGCTTGACTGTAGTCTGCTGCATTCTAAAAAGCTGCATTCTAGGACCAGCACTGTCCTACATAAAATGTCATGCTTCTTTTTATCATAGAACTAACAATATGCCTCTCATTAAGGCTGGGTGGAGGAATAGGACTCAAGAGAAATTTAGCATCCTTCACGAAGTCCCTGCTGGCTGACGCCGGACCACTGTTAGGAGTGGTGTAAGAGGTTCAGTTTCCACTGCAACATTACCTCATACGCAGTGCTCCTGCCACCACCCATGACTGAAGATGAATCAGATGGCTCAGTCAATGCAGCATGAGATTCTTAATATCAGGGTTGAGGGTTCTAGACCCACACTGGGCAGAAGATTCCTGAATTGCAGGCAGTTAGACTAGATGACCCTTGTGGCCCCTTCGAACCCTACAATTCTGTGATTACAAAGAAGGTAGAGCAATGCACAGGTAACCCTAGCATTGTGAGGGAGGCAGGATTTCAGGTTTCCCCCCCACACCCAACTGTACCTCAACAGCTAGTATACTTTGTTCCATAGAGCTCAGTGGGAACTACTGGCAACTGACAAAGACTCAAAATGCCTAAATGGGTTTAAGATCCAGCATACAAAGGCTGGTGTTCACCTGGCTACTCACTGACCCCAGCTTTTATCCCCACCCACTACTAAGTACTATGGCACATATGTGCCATGATGTGAAAGTGTCAGTATTGGTACAGGTGCCCGTTCCATTTGAAGGGCACTTGCTAATCCTTCCACCCTTGTTCACCTGGCCTTGTTATCTCTGGAAGAAACTACAGTGAACATTATGTTCAAAAATTACCATCAGGCTTTGACTGGAAAGTAGGAATTTGCAAAGGAAATTAATTAATCTTATTGAAACTAGCATTTCTTGGACAGCTAACTCAGAACTTTAGAAAAGTAAGTGACTACTCCGATTTTGAACTGAGATCTTAACATTATGAATCATTCATATTGGTGCTCGATCAACAGCAAGCATTAACAGTACAGTGGTACCTCATGTTACATACGCTTCAGGTTACATATGCTTCAGGTTACAGACTCCACTAACCCAGAAATAGGTTACATACGCTTCAGGTTACATATGCTTCAGGTTACAGACTCCACTAACCCAGAAATAGTGCTTCAGGTTAAGAACTTTGCTTCATAATGAGAACAGAAATCGTGCCCCAGCGGCACGCCGGCAGCAGGAGGCCCCATTAGCTAAAGTGGTGCTTCAGGTTAAGAACAGTTTCAGGTTAAGAACGGACCTCCAGAACGAATTAAGTACTTAACCTGAGGTACCACTGCACTGTATAGAAATTCAGAAATTTTCCACAATGTATCTAGAAATACTTTCTGCGATATCTTTTAAATATGTCTTCAAAGTGCCCATCTCCTAATATCTACCATATTTTGGTAATGACTGAGAGATTCTGAGAGACCATTTAGGGTCAAAACTAAGGAAGTTTTGCTTTAGAAGACCAAAATATACCCAACAAAAGAAAGTAACGCGAGGCCAGCTGTACATTAATCCATTCCAAATTGTTAATACATATTTCTGTTTAACAGGTAATACGTCCTGCTTAACATTATGTTTATTAGCCCAGGAAGTAATCCATGAAATTTAGGATCCTAAATTGAACAGGATGTAAATTTATAGGAAGTTATAAAACTTGTAGAAACATCTAGGAAGAAAAGGAAAGGGTGGGAATAAAGCTAGCCAACTGTTCATTGCAATTACTGTGAATGGTGAATTGACAATACTTTAAAATCTCTTAAAAATAAAATAATAAACAGACTCTTTAACTTAGACCAAGGAATTTTCACTGCCATAGTGTAATAGAGCTTGAAAACTCCGGCATCAGCGGGGAGGGAAGGCACTCAGCAGCCAGCCTCTGTGTGTGAGAGAGAAATGCAATTAAGGCTCCCACCAGGGATAGAGAACTAAACAAAACCCGCATCTTCACACAAGAGCTTTTTTCTTCCACATGAGGGACAAGGCCTCAAATCTTTTTGGTGAAAAGCTAGCATTTAGGACAACACACTTTCAGATTTTCTCACAGAGGATCAAAGTAAATAATGGAAGGGCAGCAAACAAAAGGGAAAACTTCAGTGCACTTACATTAAAAAGAGATAAAGAGGGCTTAGGAGTGACTGAAGAAATTGCTGGCGTTTTCAGAAGCATAAAGAGAAAAGCACTACATACAACTAGCATAAGGACGGGTGCTTCCATTAACTGAGTGGCATGCAAGTCATATATACATGCTCACAAATTATATACAAAATGCAAACATGGGCACACAGAGAGAGAGAGAGAGAGGATTTTATCTCCCTCTTAGCACCAACTTGAAATAGCACACACATCCTCCCCCCACAAATAAATCTCCCTTGCTTCATAGTTCTCACCCAAGGATAGCAATCACTTAGGTGCATAAATAGCTCTTTTAAACAAAACAACATTCCCACTTTTTACATCAAGCCAATAACTTTTTTATATAAAAAAAAATTCTTAATATTCACCATTCTACTTATATTGTATTACAGCTCCTGGGATTTAATAGACAGCTACATACAATGCAGATATTTATTTCAATGGCTCTACTCTGAGAATGGTTCATACAATACTGGATATCACCCTATGTTAGAAACAGGAGGCAAGTGAAATTGTGGACCACTTCACTTAGAATGGAAAAGAAAGCTTTGGCAGGGCGAGATCCTTCAACCAACATTTCAGAGTTATACATTAGATTTATGTTACTTCACACAAAGAATAACAACACACTGTTGTTGTTGTTGTTGTTGTCGTACAATAAACATGCCTTGTGTTTAACAGAGGAATGGAAGCAAAACGCAAGTCCAATGCCTTAAGGTGCTTACAGTCTAAACTTTGTGGAGGAAACAAGGAACATGAACAAGTGAGATAGGAAGGAGGAGGACAATTTTAAGAAAATGCAATCTTTTTCTTTTTTTCCATCTTGATTTCATTTGGTATAAAGGGCCAAGTCAAAATCTCCACAACAGTAATTTTAGAAGGAATTTCAAGTAAGCGACTATAAGTGTTCTGGAATGAAAAACGAGGTGAAGGAACTGCCTTGAAAAGGGGCTGTGAACATGGATCAAGGAAGCATTTGGGACATGTTGTTTTCCTCTCAGGAGGAAACAAAACCTGCTCCACGACCCCCAAAGCACGCACAGCTCTTCCAGCATAACCCTCTAGCTTGCTCACTAATAACTAATAATTTAGAAACTGAGCTAAAGTTAAGTGGTTTCAATGATTTCAATGATAATGATTTAAGCAGATGATTACCTGAGTTGTACCTATATTAATGAACTTAGTAGGATCTGTTAAGAATAACAGACTAACAAAACGATGGCAAGGTGGTTGTTTCTAATTCTTAGTCAGATTCAAGACTGGTCAATCAATTTGAAATCGGAGTTCCAGTATGTGACTTGCCGTACACTGATGTGGCCTCCTTTATGTATCTAAGCAGCTTTTCCTGTTGTTACTCTGTCTCTCACAGATACAGTAAACTACTGTAGCTGTGAGAGACAGAATAACAACAGGAAAACCCCCAGAAACGCAGAAGACAAAAGCCAGAGATTGATGTGCATTATAATGAGTGAAATAAGTATTTGATCCCCTATCAACCAGCCAGATGTCAGGCTACCTGGTATCTTCACTGTATGTAAGGAGCTGAGATTAGAAGCACCTGCTGTAAGGGAGAGGTCTCACCTATAATCCCAGCTTGTTACAGTACCTGTACAAAAGACACCTGTCGACAGAAGCAATCAATCCAGCAGATTCCAAAGTAGCCACCATGACCAAGACCAAACAGCTGTCCAAGGATGTCAGGGACAACATTGTAGACCTGCACAAGGCTGGACTGGGCTACAAGACTATTGCCAAGCAGCTTGGTGAGAAGGTGACAACAGTTGATGCAATAATTCGCAAATGAAAGAAACACAAAATAACTGCCAACCTCCCTCGGTCTGGGGCTCCATGCAAGATCTCATCTTGTGGAGTTGCAATGATCAGGAGTACTGTGATGAAGAAGCCCAGAACTACATGGGGGGAACTTGTCAGTTGGGACCATAGTCACCATGAAAACAGTTGGTAACACACTACGCCGTGAAGGACAGAGATCTTGCAGAGCCTGCAAGGTCCCCTTGCTCAAGCTGTCTGCAGTTTGCCAATGCACATCTGAATGACCCAGAGGAGAACTGGGTGAAAGTGTTGTGGTCAGATGAGACCAAAATCGAGCTCTTTGGCATCAACTCAACTCGCCATGTTTGGAGGAGGAGGAATGCTGCCTACGACCCCAAGAACACCACCCCCACCGTCAAACATGGAGGAGGACATATTATGCTTTGGGGGTGCTTTTCTCCTAAGGGGACAGGACACCTTCACCGCATTGAAGGGACGATGGACGGGACCAAGTATCGTCAAATCTTGGGTGAGCACCTCCTTCCCTCAGCCAGGGCATTGAAAATGGGTCGAGGATGGGTATTCCAGCATGACAATGACACAAAACACACGGCCAAGGCAACAAAGGAGTGGCTCAAGAAGAAGCACATTAAGGTCCTGGAGTGGCTTAGCCAGTCTCCAGACCTTAATCCCATTGAAAATCTGTGGAGGGAGCTGAAGGTTCAAGTAGCTACACATCAGCCTCAGAATCTTACTGACTTGGAGAGGATCTGCAAAGAGGAGTGGGACAAAATACCTCCTGAGATGTGTGCAAACCTGGTGGCCACCTACAAGAAACGGCTGACCTCTGTAATTGCCAACAAGGGTTTTGCCACCAAGTACTAAGTCATCGTTTGCAAAGGGATCAAATACTTATTTCACTCAACTCAGTGTGTCACCTAGACCTGTAACTGTGGTTAATCTTAACAACTGTTCATGGAAGCAAGCCAGTTTCAGTCACTAAGTTGGCTTGTTTGGAACCAGCAGTAGTAAAAGTTAACTGCAGTTTGCCAGACTTGGGTGACATGGAAAGCTATGATTCATTTAAATGGAAGCGAAAGCTTCTATATCTCCTCTCCACAGTCATGCTTGAGGAGAAGAGGAGAGCATGCAAGGCCGAAGCTCGGTGCAGCTCTTTACATCATGGTGAATCATGGATTACCCTGACATCCTTCCTCATACACTGAAGCACAGGGATGGATTGCACTATAAAGCACAAACTTTGTGTAACTTTATGATACTCAAGCAAAACTTCTCAGACAAGAATTTGTGCATGGCGTACATATGACCAAGAGAAAGCATACATGTATGCACTACCTTGCAGGCACTCACCACTGTGTGGGTTGATATGCTGCGGGCAGAAGGAGCGGCTCTATTAAACTTAGGGCAAAATTATGATTTTAACAGTTATGCCCATTTTGAACTTGTTGAATCAAGGGCACTAAGTTTTGGATATAATATATGGTACAATCCATCTTGCATGCAAACGGGGGAGGAGCAGTGCAATGGGCCAAAATGGAGCCCTGCTCTTCTGAATTTTGCGATGCAGTTCCTCTTCTCCCCCCCGCAAACAAAAATGCTTTTATTTTTTTAAAAGAAGCATGCAGAAGAACACTGCTTGCAAAAATGTCTCTCTTAAATGAAAGTCCATATGAAGTGTGTATATCAGGAAAAATGCAAAACTAAATTTTCATTAGCACTTTTGCTAAAAATTGCCGTATGTGTGGGGGATGATGTTTCTTAAGAATCTCTGACCTTTACAAGCGAACAAAATCCAAGCTGGGGTAGCTCAATTAGTTGAGCATGAGACTTTTAATCTCAAGGTTGTGGGTTCAAGCATTGCAGGGAGTTGGACTACCTGATCCTAGTGGTCCCTTTCAACTCTATGATTCTATGGCGGTATCACAATCTGAGATATTATCAGAGAAATGTCTACTATCTGTCTTGGATGACAAAGCAACCACTGCTAATAGAGATACAACACAGTTGCTTATACTTTACATTTTAATTTGTTTTATTGAGTCTCTTTGTTGCTATATAACAATTTCAGAAGATTTCATAATATTGATTTCAAATATTTCTTTCTCAAATATTTCACTTTGGTAAGCTTAGAACTTCACTCATCAAAATACATTTCCACAAATCAATTCAATGCTGGATACTATGAGTTTGCCTCATTCCTCTCTAATTACTATGCAAAGAAAATAAATATTAGATATAATTTATTGATGTCCTCTGTAGAATGTTTTGTGGTCAGTGAATAATGACAGAGGTAGAAGCACTTCCTGAAGTCACCTGGGGGCAATGGATAGAGATTCAATGGTGAAATTAGCTGGCGGGTGGTTTTCAACTTACTCACTCTGTGCTACTGAAGTGAGATTATTCTACATAAAAATCTAAATCTCTGGTTAGGAGGGACTAAAAAATGTTCTTAGAATATGCTTCTTTTGGTGCATATACATCAAAGACATCCCTTGCCCTTGCAAAAAAAAAATGCTGAAATGGTGCTCCTGTAGCAACTCATGGATATATACTCTACAAAAATATACTGTGCATGAAAGACTGTATAGTGGAATTGTGGATTCTCTAGTCATTTTTCTCAGGTACAGAATTCCATCCTAGGAACTGGACTTTCATGACCCAACCAATCAGGTAGCCACCTTAGAGGTTACTTCTAAGTAACAGTTATATATATAATCAAGGCTCCGCAGTCAGTTCAACATAGCTGAAATTTGCTATGTGATGCAGTTACCCAAAAATTTGGTTAATGGAAATGAATAGACTCTTTCCAAACAAGAATTTCACAGAGATCTACCAAAAATACACTATATCTTGGAGTAGCTCCTCAGAAAAGTTGCTTCTTAGGAATTTATTAAAAACACATTCAGGATTTTATTTTTTATTTTTCTAAAATCCATCTTAACTGTTACTCTGTTAAGTAGGAGATGGAGAAGAGATTGCAATCAAATGCAAAAGGACCGTGGGGCTATAATATTTTGGGGGATTTAATATTGAAATGAAAATGAGAATGTATTTGCTGCATGTTCTTTTGGTATTAAAAAAAGGTGTTGAAAAAGACCCATTCAACAACACCAGGCAGTACAATGTTGAGAATGCCAAGCAAACAAACACACAAAAAACCACTAGGGAACTTTTCCTCTGAAACCCAACTGAAATGAAGAAAACTGGGGGAAAACCCATTCATTTCAATGGCATGTACACAGATAACCTTTCTGGTGGATTTTCCCTGACAACTCTGGCTTATATGACATACTGCGTTATATAGAAGGCCAGAAGCGCAAAAATCATTTTCGGTTCGAAAGTGTTATTTTCTTTTAAGTACATATAAAATATGGCTTTAAAGTGCTTCTTAACCATTCCTTCCATTCTTCTTTCGTGACCATCTTTGTGATTGCTTATGCAACCCTGGGAAAAATGTAAATTGTATTTCCTCATGGCAAATTGCAACTGAATTAGTCTACTGGGCGGACAAACAACACAATCAAATTCCCTGGCTTTTTATTGAACCTCTACTTGACTTAGTATACATTTGAAAACAAAACAAAAAAAGATCGTCTCTCTCAGGGTCTCTGACATTGCAGGCCATGAGAGATTCAATGTCACTCCCAGAATACAAATTTATTAGTCTATAAAATTTGACACTCTCTTATTTATTCACAGAAAGGACAAATGAGATGGTTTTTTTTCATACTTACTAGAAATATCTGGGAGTGTTTATACGCTGCTCCATCTGGAGGATGCAAATAGTGAAGGCCTACTTTACAATTCAGAAGGCAAAGACCCGCTGAAGGATAACAAATGACTTCATGGTGAAACAGCTATTGAAATTCTTTCAGTACGTGATATTAAAAACAACTGAACAAACAGAGATAAGGGGCAAATAGGATTTGAAACAGACTTTTTTTTTTTTAACCAGAAGAAAAACAAATGAAGCTCCTAGTTGAAGCTTTAACATTGCAGTAATTTTGTAGATAGTTTAGCTTTGGCACATGTGATCCATCACTACATGAAAGGTCACCGGCCAAGGTTCATTAGCCCAAAATTTGATCAGTTACATTAGGTTATCACCATGGGGCATGCTTCTAGCTTTGAAGGGGCACTGTTTCTTCTCTAGAACGTACTAGGGACGCTCTTCTTAATATTAAAATTAGCTAATCTTGGTTAAATCCCACTAAAAACTTGATAAATCTGCTCTGGATAAATTTATCTCAAAGCGCTTACTGCTAGGTGATCACAAAACAGTTGCCCAGGTGGTCACACACTCACTGCTGCATGGTGTGTTTTTTTAAGAATATCTGCCAGGTCCTAGTGAGAAGCTATTACGACGTTTATTTTAAATCCTGCAAAAAGTACTTTTAATTGTTATGAAATAAATCCAGAGTCAATCCAGGTTTACATCAAGAGCTAATCAGTCGGGACCAATCTTGTTAAGAATGAAAATGAAGAAGAGATAGCTTTAAATGTTCTGTCTCCATGGAAATACGTGTGATGTCATGACTGCAGAGCAGTTTGCCAGCAGATGTACAGTAGCCCCTCTTTGGCCTATGGTCACACAGACCATTGCTGGCCAGGAATAGAGTTAATAAGGGAGAATCTCTCTGCTTACAACTATTTACACAGATAATTTTTAGAGTTTGTGAAGAATGTATTTTACCATAATGTGTGGGTAGAAAGATAAAGATATATAGGCACAGTAGTGGGGTAACGTAATTTTAAAATATGTTCCATGTTTTAAACATAACTAGATAAACTCTCATTTGAACACAATTGCAAACGAATGTTGTTTAAACAGGTGCCAATAGATCTGCCAACGATGATTTAGAAATAGAAAATCAGCGTTGGCAAGATATCCCCTACCCTACCCAAACTCTGATGAATTTCACCCTCCAATCATTTGCCAGTGCTAATTATGAATTGTTGTAAAAAGCATCTAGAAATCCCCGTCCAACACTGCTTTCGGACCTAAGCTAAGATGGAACACCAGTATGTATGTAATATTAAACCACAGTTAAGGCTACATAGTGAAAGAAAATTGGTTTGTGGCAAACTAGGGAGGAAGAAAAAGGAAGTGTTCGTTTTCAAAGCTGGTTCCCAATTTGTAGACTACGTATAGACTGCAAAGTACTATTGGTATCTCTATACTGGAGCAGTGCAACGACTTACTGGAAGGCAGAGGCAGTGAAAAAGGTTTGGGTTTTTCCCCTGCTTAAAGTTAAGCAGGCAGTTTCCATGAGTCTTCTTTACTTGTATCAAGATGTCTAAAACGGTTCAGTACTTAAAGGGTCAAAATGTATTATCATCTCAGTTCATCTAATAAGTAATGTTTTTGCCAAACAAAACCAATTCCCAATAAATTCTCACTGTATTTGTGTGCACCGATTTGATTTAGAGGCCTGTGGGGAGACACCATTTGGTAGCTCAGGAACACAGAGGGGTAGGTGGTGCTGAGGAGAAAGCAAAGCTTCATGTGCCAGAAGTGTTATTGTGTCAGGTTGATTTATTGAGTGAGCTTCACTTCACCGAATGTTCCGAGATATTTATTTCCCTAAAGGCTCTGCAAAGATATGAACAGACCTGCATCCACAGATGTCATCATTGCTCATTTTACCGAGTCATGAAATTTCCTCAACTGCAATTTGTCCATCTAAAATTGCTGTAACAGGACAAAGTCAACAGTAGCTTCCCTCTTCTGTCCCTCCCATCTGCAAAGTGCTACTTTGCAAACATTACCTTGGAACTTTGTGACTTGGTATCATTTTTCTGAATATTTATGTGGCAACTCCAGTTTAACAATATTGACTATACAGGAGACAAGTGTAATCTTAAGAGCATTACACTTTCCTGATAATTACTACACTACAAATTTGAAAAGGGTTATATTCAAAATGTTGTTTTTTTTAAAAAAAAACTTACATGGCAGATAAAATATACAGTAAGAAACCTTCGAACGGCATTTTAGATTCTTGTGTTCTACAAAATCTCCAGAATCACCTGTTTTGCCCAAAGCTTGCTCTTATTGTTATGGGTTGCATTCAATTAAGTATTACCCACAGTAGACACAGTGAAACTTCTTGTTGTTGCTTAGTCGTTTAGTCATGTCCGACTCTAAATTAGTCATGTCTCTTAACTGCAGTGGATCTACCCTGAGTGGAACTTACACTGAATACAACCTAATGAATTTGTATAGTCTACATGGCACCTTGCAGAGTAATATAAGCAATAAAACTACCCAAGAAGTTTAATCATTGCAACTGCAATGGAAATTAGCTTAATTTCGACTGGACTAAGGTGCCACAGATGCTAATGACTGCATGAGCCCATAAATTTTCTAAACTGATGGTTTTAATTTTTCTTGACTCAAAAAATGGGCTATAAGTGTTTCCAAAATGGGGCTTAATACTGCAGGTAGGTCATTGAGACACCACAAACAGGTCACTGACAACAGTTTGTTTGTTTTTTAACTTTGTGGATTTCTACCATATTGAATCCAGACTAACTGGGGGGTGAGGGTGGAGATGCAGACTGACAGTTGGTTGACAACGATGTTGTGTGGATGCTGTAAAAGAACTTGCATGTATGAGGAGCACCAATCCTTGTTAAAAAACCTGTCTGGATGCACCCTCTGGTGTTTTAGGAATTCTGGGCTTGGAAATGTTCTGATGGTGTTTCTTTCTTTCGTCAGCCATGTTCACTCATCATCATGAATCAGACTTTCTGGCACTGTGATTTACCAGGAACGAGCATGTTGCCTGATCATTCCTAGTTTGTTCCTCCCCCAGCTGGCATAGGCAAGATAAGCAAATTTAGGAAAACTTTTCTTCACATTACTTTCTAATGTTTCTTCCTAACAAGTTTCAGCAAGCCAACAATAAACCATTGCTTTAAGTGACTATGTTATGTTAAGCACAAAGGCAAATCTCTTGCGCCAAGGATGGGGTGCCGAAGCAGGCATGGCAACTATGACATCCAATGGAAGGCAAGAGGCGAGTGGGCCAGATTTTGGCGTTGAACAGGGCGTTGCTGAAATTCGAGACACCGAGGTCCGCCACTGTGGAGAAACAATCCCTGGTTTGGACATAACGTGAAACCAAAGGATCATGTTTTGTTTCTTCTACGCGTCCAAGGGACAAGCAAAGCAACAGCAACTAGACAATATGAACTAGTAAATGGAATGTGGTTTCACCATTTCAGATAGAAGGACAGAGACGTGTGCACCATAGGAAACAGCTTAAAAAGGAAGGCAACATAAATTTACACAATAACCGTAAATACTTTTGGATGCAATTCTATACCCAGTTTCTATTGAACACAACAGGATTTACTTTTGAATGAACATAAACAGAACTGTACTATGAGAATACCATTACCAAATATAAAAAGTAAGGGAGTCTATAATCTATAAATTATCAGTTTAAGAACTAGAAGACAGGGTGAAAAGACTTCAGACCCTTGGGATTTACTACTTAGTCCTCTACTAAAATACTGAGACTTGCCATCCAGAGCTATATGTAAAACATTGGCTCAGGTGGGCAGAATAAGCTAAGAATTAAGTGACAGGGAGACTCTGAGCACATGCTCAGCCCAGGAATTTGTGACCAGTACCAGAGCCAAGCTCAATAAGTCCTTTCACCAACAAATCAATTTCTGGTTTTCTTCCAAGCATTCCTTTTCAGCACTCTGCTTTTTTTTGGGGGGGGGGGGGGGCTTTTCAAATGCTTTTTGCTAGTCAACTGAAAATCTGAAGCCCTTGCCAATGATCTTGAGTTCTACCTTCCTCCCACCCTTATTGTAAGGGTCCTTTTAAGGGTTTCGAATGGAGTGGCTATTAAAATAAGAAAGTCTTTTTATGTCAAGATGTGTAAATTATTAAAAATCTGATTTGAAACAAATGGCTCCAGTTACTAAAAAGATTAACAGTCCAAGGTCTTTTTTTTTTTTTTTTTTTTTAGAAATAAAAATTTAAGCCCAATAATCTTTGTCATGCAGCGAAAGGGCAAGTTTATTGAGGCAGGCATATTTTTAAAAACTATGTTAGCATCCTATGACAGAATATGCTGGCTTATTTAAATATGTTAATATTTCTCATTATGCAATTAACAATAACCTTCATCCATTTGTGAAAAACATTTTGCCAAGCATGCACATAAAAAATTAGCAAGTGAAGCAAAATCACCTTAATTTGCTTTGGACCAGCAAATAACCAACTAATTTGCAGAAATCCCTGCCAAGCACTCATATTAAATGCTTCATGCTTATTTTATGACCTCTGCTGCTCTTCTCCTTCCCAGGCCCTGAATCATATGATCATTAACATATTGCAAGGTCTGAAACTTTATTTTTTACATTCTTTAATTAATGCCTGTTTATAGAGGGCCATAGGACTTCAGATCCAGTTAATGAAACTTCTCTCCCCCAGGCCCCTGGAGCCCAATAGAGAGATTTCTCCTCTGTTGTTTTAGTAGCTTTTTTCCAACTGTTTGTTTATACACACTTAATTGATCTCTTTAGTCCCAGAAGCATTCCAGAGACACAACCTGTTCCAAGGCAAGCTAAAGTCTCCCCCCTTCTTTTTTTTATAAAAGCCCTGATTGCCCAAGGTTATCAGTTTTAATTTGAAAGTTGAAGATTCAGCTTTATTTACACTGTCTAAAAGACAAAATTGATATGGGCCCCGAAGTATTCTGGTTTCGGAGTAGCTACAAACACACACTGTATATAATTATTTTGATGTAGAACTAAGTAATTACTAAATGCTGCTATGTCTTGTTTTATTGCATTTAAGAAACTCACTCT